TTTTTTTTTTTTTTTTTTTCCCCTACCCAGAACATCACAGTCACTCTGGACCTCCTGGGGCTAGTTCCTATACAGTGGACCTCAAGTTATGACTGGCCTGAGATAACGAACAACTTGGGCTGTAACTGGAATTTTAGTTTTAACTTGCAAAGCCTTGAGTTATGACCCAAATGCCAGCCACTTGTTCTTCCAGATGGCCTCAGATACAAATTTAACCTTTAAAGAGTTCTGGAAGGAACATTACAGCATCCTTTCCTATGTAGGGTTGAGAAATCCTGGGCCAAAGTCTCTCTAGGGACACTGAGATCTGGCTGTATACAGGAGAGAAACTGTTGAGGCCGTGTAAAGGAGCCTGAGCCTTCAGTTGACCAACTTGAGTTACAGCCAACCTTTCGAACAAATTGAGTAAGTCAAGGGTCCACTGCACAGAGTACTTTTCTGCTAGTGAAACAGCAAGTTAAATGCTTTGTGCCTATTGATTCACAAGACTAAAAAATGGGAGGGGGCTTACGTACTCTGTTGTTATAGGAAAGTCATTAAATGTTCTGAATTTTATAAATCTTAAAAAAAGATTATTTAGCAGTTAACATATTAATCAGCTAGGTTTGGTTTTTCTTTAAAATTTGGAGTGCCAGAAAAGGGTAAGGAAGAACTACAAAGGATAACTTGTACAGGAGTAGCCACGGTTAGAAATTTAGTTCCAGAATCTATTTTGTGAACAGAGGAGTGGGAAAGACCTACCGCATCTAGTGAGTACAGCATGGACCCCCATCAGCCACCAGCACTCCCTTAGCCTCAGCCTCCTGCTGAGGCCCTTTTTCCCCAACACAGAGGGCTCACTTCTAGAACCCAGAATTCAGGGGCCCAGCTGCAGCCTCCTGTCCTAGCACTGAGCAGGCCACATTCCCAGGTGGACAAGGCCATCAGCCAGCCCAGAACCCAAAACCGGTCCAAGAAGGGGAGGATTAAGACCCAGCCTTACCTCGAGCTGGGCTGACAAAGTGGGTCCACAGGCTCTAGAGTCCCCTAGGATATGACCTACCCAGTGGTCAGCCCCTTGCCCACCTCTGCAGACAGACAGCTCCAGCCCCAGCAGACATCTCACCTCTCAAACACCTAGGAAACGGAAGGGAAGGGAAGGTGCGGTCTGGCCATAGACAGCCACCTGCTGTGCCTGGAGACCCCACCTAGGCTAGACTCCCACAGGGTCAGGGTTCTTCTCAGCCAAGGCCTCTTTGAGAGCCTGTGGCCTCAGGGGGAGCGGGCCTGGAGGGGAAGTAGAACAGCCTGAGACCTGGGAGCGACCCTGCCCAGGAGTGGAATGTGGCGGGTGGGACTGGAGGAGGATACACCTAGGGGACCAGAGATGCAGAGATGCCTTCCTGTGGCCTCCTCAGGGTGTGGTCCTGCTCTAGAGCAGGCTCCTTCCCTATCGGGGCTCCAGGGACCTGAAGGCTCCAGAAGCCTCTAGCTGATTCCCAGCTTCGCAGCTGGAAAGGCTGCTACAGAATCCCAGGAATGTGCCTTGAGCTCAGAAACAAAATTCCCAAAATAACTTCTATAAATACTTGAGGAGGGATGGGAGGAGAACTTGGCCTGGCCACAGCTGACCTGGCCAGGGCAGGCTCCCTCCAGAAGACAAAAGAGGCACACCCCCTCCCAGGACTTCCTGCTGTCTCTGCTCTCTGGGGGACATCATCAGGCACTCAGTGAGGAAGGATAAGTTCAGTGGCAACTCTGGAAAAGGACAGCAAAACCATTTTTCCCCTTCCTCCCCATCTCAGGATGTCACCCCACAGGGAACCTGGCTCCTGACAGGGAAGTCCCCGTCAGCATCTCCATACAGTCCGGAAGATTAGATCCCAGACTGCACTCACTGGTGGTCCTAAGAGGCCAGGCTTGCTTAGCAACATGGGGCAGCATCCTTGGCCAGCAGTCCAGGTCAGGAAGCAACATAAGCACCTCTAGTGTCCCCAGCTCTGCATCCGGGACCCTCCCATCTGGGCCTTGCTGAGCTGCCCCTGTGAAGAAAAGAAAACCAGGCAGGAGACATAGGCTGTGTCCCTCCACCCTGAGGAAGGGCAGAACAGGATGGTATACAAGAAGCCCCATGGTAACCAAGCACAACCTCAAGGGGGTTTATGGGCCAGGACCACTGTCCTCAGAGTTTCTAGGGAAGGCACCTTGCAGGTGATGTGTGAGAGCCAGGTCGGAGAGAAGAAGAGGGTGGTGGTAGGGATTTCTGGGGTCTTCTTTGACAGCTGTGCCCCTCCCCAAGATGAGCCAGGTATTCCTTGGAGGTGCCATGGCCACTTGCCATAAATTCTAACCCCTGGGGCTCCAAAGCCAAGAGTCTCAGTTGGCCTGGTCTCCTCACTCAGCAGATGAGGGACGGGAAGTTTCAGCAATGACATGTAGATGGAACCGTGTACCCACCATCTCCCAAGAGACCTGTTCTTGGTGGGCAGGGTACCAGGCAGGAGTGGCGGCGTTGCTGCAGCACTGGGCTGGGGGCAGAGCAGGTGAGGCCTCACATTTTTCTGGGACTGGGTCCTGCCCAGTTGTCAGGCAGCAAACAGTTCTGAGTTGCTACAAACACAAACTCGGACAGTGTTGGGGGCAGATGGCAGCGGATCCTGTTACAAGCCCTGGGCCTCTGGGCCCCAGCCTGACCCCAGCCTGGCCGGTGTCTTCTTTCAGGCGCCCAGGTCATCGACCCAGGGTGCAGCCTACAGTCCCCCTCCCCCAGAGCTGTGTCCTCCCCAGCCTTAGAGAAATCAGCCGTGCCGCTCCCTCCTCTGCACATAATGGAGATGTTGCCATTTGCCATGTTCCCACTGTGTGCCACGGTTGCAGAATCCTCGCCGCAGCCCTGCAAGCCCAGGCAGTTCCATCCCCTGGGTGTAGAAAAGGAAACCTCAGTAGAAAGGATGGCCACTTGCTGTGGTCTCAGTTCTTGTCAGTGAGAGGTGGGTTCCAACCCTCCCAGACCTGTGGCTGCTGGGCCCTGGCTTTCAGCTTTGCCCAGGCCCACGGAGCCTACTCCAGCATGTACGTGCACACACGTGGGTACAGCCCCGCAAGCCCTGCTAAGAGCAAGGCTTTTCCAACTCCTGGTCTCAGCGGCAGTGTCCTTTATTCCAATCTCACATGGAAGGAAGCTCGGTAAAGAGTACTTGAAGGGCAGAAGCCACTCTCCCCTCTGTGGCTCACTTAGGCGGACTCACAGGCAGACTCACAGGCATCCAGCCTTCCATTTTTGGTGCTTAATTTGGGTGTCTGGTGGCTGTCGACTCACTCCCCTTCCCTCCTCCTTGTGAGTCCTGTTCCACTGTGAGCTTCTCGGGATCTGGCACTCATGCCATGTGGGCAGAGCAGCCTGGCCTGGGGCCCTGCTGGCCAGACCGACACTGCCCCTGCCCCAGGCAGCCCTGAGTCAGCACCGTGCGCCTCTGGCCAGAGCTAGGGATGCACCCTGCCTAACCCCGCCTGGCAGCTTCAGCCACTTGGTCCCCATTGTGAGGGTTGAAGGAGGGCTCCATGAGTACCTTTCCTCTTCCCACCCCTACCGTGGGGCTTGGAGCCAGCCTCTGTGGAGAAGGGCGGCTTTTCCTAGGCTTCCTGAACACCATCTTTCTCTCTTGCCTAATTGGTTGCATTCCAAGCTCTCCGAGGACTTTGTGAAATCAGGCATGTGCATTTTTCCCAGTATGTCTCCATAGCAACGCAAGGCCTCACTCTGGGGAGCTCAAGGAGGAGGAAAATGAGCCAGCTAAAAATGTACACGGCCATCAGTGGGCGGACACTGGAGAGGAAGCTCCAGGCATGGAGAAGGACACTCCCCAGCCTCCCCACTGCCCCCAAAAGTTGGTGGTGGGGCTTCACATTTGATCTTGAAGCAAGATAAAGCAAAGCCACCCCCCCCATCAAGCAGTGGAACACAGATTGGTGGGATGTTGTGAAGCAGCCTTTCCAGGACGCTCCTTCTGCTCCCCACCCTGTGTCTCTGCTCCCTTCCTGGTGTGGGTGGAAGAGGATTTACAGAGGACAGAGTGCCAGTTTCACATCCCAGCCCCTTTTTGTGACAGTTCCTGTCACTTCCTCTAGCTCTGTGACAACAGTTGGTTGAACCAAACTGCAGGGCCACACCTCTTGCCTGTTCCCAGCCCAGACCCCAGGGCCTGAACCCACACAGCCTTCACACCTAGGACCACCCTGTGAACCTCACCTGCCAGACAGAGCTCGACTGGGCATTGGCTCCCAGGACCCAGTGTTCCTGGAAAGACCGACTGCTTGATGTAGGTGAAGGACCTCCCCTGGCTTTTCATGGGCATGGGTCTCTGCCCTCCAGATGCAGGGTCACAGCCCTGAAATGGACACCTGGGATGAAGGTACCTATGTGCTCCAGGCAGCAAGGACTAGTGCCACTTCCTCGTCAAGTGCTGTACATTCACTGACTCATTTCAACTTCACATCAGCCTCAGAGAAGGATGCTGCCGTTTTACCATTTGCAGATGAGGAAACTAAGAGCCAGATGGTTGTGACTTTCCCAGAGTACCCCAGATGAATCAACTGAAAGGCAGGTCTGGACTTGCAAGCCATGTCCCTCGAGCTAGGAGGAGCAGAGTTCCTATTGGCGGTACTCTGGGAAGGCTTAGGAGAGGACAGATAGATTTTGTGTAAAAGGCACAGTCACTTGACAGTGTCCAAGCAAGACACAGATGGGGGCCTCTCTGACTGGTGGCTGGGAGGTGAGCTGCTCTTGTTCTTGGCCCTGATTGCTGGATGCCCCTGCCCCAGAGTGCCCATATTAACCCCACCCTGTCCTTTGTCCTCAGGGTCTGATGCTGAGTCAGCTGGGCCACAAGAGCCTGGCTCAGAAGGTGCTGCGGGATGCCGTGGAGAGGCAGAGCACATGCCACGAGGCCTGGCAGGGTCTTGGCCAGGTCCTGCAGGCCCAGGGACAGACTGAGGCTGCCGTCGACTGCTACCTCACCGCCCTGGAGCTGGAGGCCAGCAGTCCCGTGCTGCCCTTCTCCATCATCCCCAGAGAGCTCTGAGCCCACTGCAGCAGCAGCGGGGGCCAGACAGTGACATGCAGATGTGGGCCTCAGGGAATACAGCAGTAGTAAACACTCTGCAAGCTGTAGCCCCCGTTCTCCCCTCTCCCTCCAGGGTCACCAGTCTGAGCTTGCGCCTGCTCCTCTCAAGCTGGGTGGACAAGATTTGCATCCAAAGCAAATCCCTTGCTCCCTGGGATTTAGACATGTGGTGTTTGTGGGTAGGGGTGTTGGGAAGCCACATCATCTAAAGGTGCACTGAGGGTCTGTGTGTCTTGGGTACCTGGCCCCAAGCCCTGCCCTCAACATCCCTGACACCTGGATTTTCCCGGCTTTGGACAGGTTCCAGTCCAGAGCCTCTGCCCCACAAGAGATACACCCCACACGCTTTCTCTGGTCCAGTCAGTCTTTTCCCTCATTCCTTCCCAGGGCCTTGGGGGACAGATTAGCATGGACCCTCAGTGACCTTGCACTTGTGACTGGGTGTATGCTTCAGAGCTGGGCTCCCCTTCCCCCTGCACCCTGCCTTGGGCACTAGGGACCCCATTCCCAAGTCTTGCTTCCCATATCACCCCTGGGTCTTTCCCAGGGGCCTCACAGCCTGATTGCTGGCTCACTGAAGACAGTGAGGTCCCCGGGTTCCTCCCGATTCCCATGATGCTCTGCATTGCCCCTTTGTCTGGAGGCCAGTGAGCAGCACAAGGATGCTCAGTCCTGTGCTCTTCCAGTCTGCCACCAAGTGCCTTTGGGCATCTGGTGTCTAGCTAGGGGCTCTGAACACTGGCCTTAACACTCTTCCATTTCCACCTACCTGATCTACCCACAAAGGACCCCAGCACCACTGGTCTTCATAGGCCCTAGTGTGGTGGTCCCTATCAGGCCTCAGGAAACATGCCAGAGTTTCTAATGCCAGAGTCGTTCCATTCAAGTCTTTTCCTAAAGGCAGGAGCTAATAACATGGAGGAAGCAGTCCCTGGGACTACCCCAAAGCATCACCCACACCCAAAACCTTGGGATTTTGGGATGACCTATGCCCAGTGCTGGCCATCTGGGGCCCCCAGGAGCTGTGACTGAAAACCACCAGTCCAGCTCACTCTCCATGCTTGAGCAAGCCTTGGGATCCTCCACATGCCACACTTAAAACTCTGCCCCAGGAAGTCAGTCCCTAGGGCCTGGCAGGAAGTTCCCCTCTGTCCTGTGCTTTGTCCAGGGGTCCAGATCTCACTTTACAGTGTGGGAGAAGGCCAGAGAGCCACTTGGTTTAATCACAACTTTCTCAGAGGGAGAGGGCCATGGGAGGCCCGCCTCAGGCTGCACTGGCCCTACAGGTCACAAGGTTTCTTCGCAGAGAGCTGGCCAATGAGCAGCACAAGGATACTTGGTCCTTTGCTCTTGGGTGAAGGATCTCTTGTCTGTGTATGTGGATATATAAATACAGATATATAGATATATATATATAGATAGATATATATATATTTGATAGAGATCTATTTTTTTCTGAAATTCTCTTAGGAAAAAAAGAATATGCAAGTGCTATTGATATACCATGGGTTCCCAGAGCTGTTGGGAGTCAGTTCTTGGTAGTAGAAAGACACCAAATGTGTTCCAGCTTTTCCTGTTCCCTCTTTGGAGCCACAGAGGGCTGTGCCAGTTGCTGACCATGATCTTCAGACTGAATAAAGAGACCCTGGAAGAGGAAACAGGACTCTGAGGCAATCTTGTCTGTATGTGGATATATAAATACAGATATATAGATATATATATATAGATAGATATATATATATTTGATAGAGATCTATTTTTTTCTGAAATTCTCTTAGGAAAAAAAGAATATGCAAGTGCTATTGATATACCATGGGTTCCCAGAGCTGTTGGGAGTCAGTTCTTGGTAGTAGAAAGACACCAAATGTGTTCCAGCTTTTCCTGTTCCCTCTTTGGAGCCACAGAGGGCTGTGCCAGTTGCTGACCATGATCTTCAGACTGAATAAAGAGACCCTGGAAGAGGAAACAGGACTCTGAGGCAGTGTGTTCATTTGTCCGCCTTGAGCCGGCCATGGAGCTGCTGAGAGGGCTGGCGGTATGGAGGAGGAGTAGGGAGGCATTCTGAACTCTGGATTTCAGCTGGAGAACATTGCCAGGGGAAGGAGAGGTTCGGAGAGTGTGGGAAAGCTGGGCTGAGGCCTGGAGACAGGAGGCAGCGAGGGGTCTGAGCAGGACTGGGTCTGGCCTTTGACCCACCCTTGGATTGGCCTCAGCCCCTGCTGCCTCTAGGACACAACTGAAAGAGGCCAGGGCAGGACTTGCTGTGCAGATAGGAGACTGGCCCTTGAGCATTGCCAGTGGAGCACTTCCAGCCCCAGAGAAGCTTTTGGGGATGCAGGCCACATCCAGATGGGCCCCCTCTGCTGAGAAGCCCGTAGCAGCTCGTCCCGATATGCTCTCTACCGTGAGCACACATCAAACATTTGCAGTGGGTGGTGTACACACAACCTCCATTCTTCATGACCCCCAAAAGATCACCTGCTGCTGCAACCACCACACATTGAAGATGGCTACCCTGAGGCTCCTGCTGAAGTCAGAGGTTCAGCCTTCCTCTTGCTGATGGGCAAGGGCTTTGAGAAGCTGACCTTGCATAGGTCGGATGTTGGAAAGGCAAGCAGGGGAGACCCCCTGAGCTCAGGCATTTCCTGACCCCATTTTCATCTGCAGACCCAGCCCTTGCACGTAGACTGGTGTCAGAGAGCAAGGAGGAGGCCTGCTCCATGTAGGACTCGGTGCCCTGTCGCCCCGCTGGACCTCCAGCCTGTACACCACTTTCCAGGACGCAGCCCCCACTGTGCTCGTGGGTAGCAGTAGTGTTTATCTGCAGACAAATATGAATGGAATTTCAGCCACCACCACCCAGACTCCTTTCTGGTACCAAAGCGCTCATTGTTGCACTGTCCCCCACCCCCACACAGCTGTCGTCATTGCGGATATTTCTTGGCCCTGAGAAGCTGCCAGCTAAACCAGCCTCCCTGCTTGCCCAGCACATGCTGCCAGCTCCTGATGACAGCCACAGCCAAGGGGGCCTCATACAGGAGCAACCTGAGAGACCAGCCCTACAGGACTGGGAGTTCAGGGAGGGTCCTGCCTGTCCCCTGCCAGGGATCCCTTCACATTTAATCAGCTGCCTTCAGTAGCAAAGAACAGATGCACTGAAAGTAAAGTGAGAGAGAACTCCCCAGAGAGCTGGGACTGGAACTCAGGGCTCAGGCCTGGGGCAAGGGCAGCCACAGAAACCATCTACCTGTCTTAAGGGAGGCAGCAGGGTGACACCACAGTCACTGCTTGAGCTGGAAGGCCCAACTCCATGGGACAGGCTGTGTTGTTTTGAGCAAGTTGCTTAACCTCTGTTTACCTGTTTCTCATCTATAAAAAGAGAATAACAATAGAATTGTGTCTGCTTTGTGGATTATGATTTTTATGTGAGAAAAACAAGTCAGAATTCTAGTGCAATGCTCGGCCTCTTGTAAAAGCTCATGTGTGAGTGATTTCGTTCTGTTTTTACCGGCTCCATGCTGCTCTCCTTGCTGGCTGGCTTTGCTCACTCTGAGATGTTGCTGCCCTAGGCCTCTGGTCAGTACCACCCTGGCCTTCCAGCCTTGCCCTCCCACCTACCACCTGCAGTGCTATAGCCATTCCCCTCTGAGCAACTGATTTTCTTCTTTCCTTTGTGGTACTGGATGGATGGAAACCAGGCCCTTGCACATAAGCAAGTGCTCTACCACTGAGCCACGTGCCCCACCCTTTTTATTTATCTAGAGACAGGGTCTCAGTAAGTTACCCAGGCTGGCCTTAAACTTGCCATCCTCCTACCTCAGCCACCCAAGTAGCTGGGATTATAGGTATGCTCCACCACACCCAGCCCTGAGTGGCTCATTCCTGAGTAAAAGGATCCACTTGGTCCTACTCAGTTTTGCATGGGTCACTAGACAGCCTGTAGAGTGACTTCCCTTGGAGGGTTGCCCTGGTCCCATCCCAGAATCAGGACACAGAATACAGCTGCTTACACAGCTGGAGTTCTGGGCAGATGCCAGCCCACCCTTCCTTCTGTGCACACCCCTAGAGCACTCTTCCTCCCTCCCCACCTTATGGATCATCCATGGGGGGGCTGTCTTGTCTTTTCTCTTACAATGAAGATGACAGTGACCAAACTGATGCTCTTCCCCAGCCCACCACGGTGCTTGGCTCACAATGAACTATGCTGATCACTCCTCTGGTAATCCATAGTCTTGCAAAGTGGGTTTTATCTCCCCAAGAAAGGAGAGGAGATCATGGCGCCTCCACTCACTGTTAACTTGGCATGTGCTGTGTTCACTGCCACCCTCTAAAGAGCACAACACCAGCTCACCAGCTCTGGGGTCAGAGGCAGAAGCCGCTGCCACTCTCCACAGCAGAAGGACCTGCTGGGACCTGTTGACACTAAGATGACCCAGAGTCCTCTGGGCAAGCATCCTGAGGGAGGACACACAGGCCCAGGGCCCTCCCCTCCACTGTGGCTGAAGGGAAGAGGATGGGATTCTGAGCTGCTCCCACCCAGCCCTTCTGCAGCTGGCATGGAGGTTCTGCAAGCCGATGTCTCTGGAGGGGCTGTGACCTCTCCAAACAGCCACAATGTCCAGAAGATGCTGGGCATCCCAAACCCTGTACAGATGAACTGTGGATCTGTGCATTAGGCTGTGGGACTCAAGTGCCCTAATCCAGCTGACAGTACCTTGCTGGATCCCAGAAACACTGTGCCCACATCGCGCTGGCCCACAGCCTAGGAGATGGCCTGGGTGTCCCCTCACAGGACACCACTACAGGTGGGGGGATTGATCTCTTGGTACTGTCTCTCACTCTCTTCTTAACTCTCTTTGGAATTGACAGTAAGTCATCCTGTGGATTTCTTTAAAAACACACACTATTTGTTTCTGAACCATTTGAGAATGTGTGTAAAGCAGGTCCCTTTACCCCTTAATGCTTCAGTTTGTTTTCACGAAGACCGAAGTTTCTCTCTTAACCATGGTACAATTAACAGATAAGGAATTGAACTCTAATGATGCTCTTGGCAAAATCTTCCATCCATCCTCCCTCTAACTTGTTGCTAATGTCCTTTATAGCACTAATTTCCTGCAGCCAAGAAGATCCCACGGTTCATTTAGTTGTCATGTCTCTTTAGTCTCTCATCTGGACAGCTCCTCCTCCTCTCTGCCTTCTGTGGCACCCACATCGCCTAAGGCTGCAGAGAGTCTGGCTCTAGTGCTATAATTGTGAGACAGCTGAAAAGGGAATCAGCTGGGGTGGGAGCAGAGGCTAAAAAAGCAGAAGCCATAAGCAGAGAAAGCAATGGAGAACAGTTGATTGGAGCAAAACAAACAGGTGAATCTCTGCAAGGCAGAGCTCTGGAATCCAGAGAAACGGCTGCCTATTTTCAAGAGCAGCAAGATGCCAGGGACTTGAGGGCTCTGTTCTGTCCTGACATCTCTCCAGCTCCACAGCCTGACTGGTATGGTCAGGATTGCCAACTGCCTTGATTCCTCCCATCCTTAGAGATCCCCATGGAGACTGAAGGGCCCTGAATGTGTCTGTTCCTAGCAGCTGGCACACACCAGAGAGGCCATCTCCCCCCTTGCACCATCATCTGGGCCCTGAGACCAGCAGACAGGCAGGGGCTCCAG